AACATTGTATACAGATACATTGTATACAGATACATTGTATACAGATACATTGTTTACAGATACATTGTATACAGATACATTGTACACAGATACATTGTATACAGGTACATTGTATACAGATACATTGTATACAGGTACATGGTATATAGATACACGATATACAAATACATTATATGCAAACATATGGTATAAATACACAGGGTATACAAATAAATGGTATACAGATAAACAGTATACATATACATGGTATACAATTACCCGTTATACAATTACCCGTTATACAGAAACATTTTATACAGATACATTATATACAAATACATGGTGTAAAGTTACACGTTATACAGAAACATTGTATACAGATACATTGTATACAGATACATTATATACAAATACATGGTATATATATACATGGTATACAAATACATGGTATACAGATACACAATATACATATGCATTGTATACAGATACACGTTATACAGAGTACACAACATAGCAATACGTGTTATACAGATACACGGTATACAGATCTATACACATAACACAAATACACGGTATACAGATATATGGTATGAATTCACACGTTATACAGATATCTGGTATGAATTCACATGGTATACAGATACACGGTATTTTACAGATACATTGTATATAGATACACGATATACAAATACATTATATGCAAACATATGGTATAAATACACAGGGTATACAAATAAATGGTATACAGATAAACATTATACATATACATGGTATAAAGTTACACGTTGTTATGACAGATACACAATATACATATGCATTGTATACAGATACAGTGTATACAGATACATTGTTCACAGATACATTGTATATAGATACACGATATACAGATATATGGTAGGAATTCACACGGTATCCAGATCTAGGGTATGAATTCACACTGTATACAAATTCACGGTATACAGATATAGGGTATGAATTCACACTGTATACAGATATATGTTATTAATTCACACGGTATAGAGGTTCACGGTATACAGATTCACGTTATACAGATATATGGTAGGAATTCACACGGTATTCAGATACACGGTATAAAGATATATGGTATGAAATCACACGGTATACAGGTTCACGGTATACAGATACGCGGTATACAGATATATTGTATGAATTCACACGTTATACAGATATCTGGTATGAATTCACACTGTATACAAATTCACGGTATACAGATACACGGTATACAGAAACATGGCATACAAATACACGGTATATAAATACATGGAATACAGATATATGGATTGAATACACAGGGTATATAAATACATGGAATACAGATATATGGTGTGAATTCACACGGTATAGAGGTTCACGGTATACAGATATATTGTATGAATTCACACGTTATACAGATATCTGGTATGAATTCACACGTTATACAGATATATGGAATGAATTCACACGGTCTACAGATTCACGGTATACAGTTACACGATATATGAATACAAGGTTTAACGTTACACATTATACAGAAACATGGCATACAAATACACGGTATACAGACAATATATAGGTACACGGTATACAGACAATATATAGGTACACGGTATACAGACAATATATAGGTACACGGAATACAGAGGTATAGAGATACATGGTATACAGCTATATGGTATGAATTAACACGGTATACAGATAGATGGTATGAATTCACACCGTATACAGATATATGATATGAATTCACACGGAATACAGATTCACGGTATACAGTTATATGGTATGAATTAACACGGTATACAGATGTATAGAGATACATGGTATACACATATATGGTATGAATTCACATGGTATACAGATACATGGTATACATATACATTGTACACAGATACATTGTATATAGATACACGATATACAAATACATTATATGCAGACATATGGTATAAATACACAGGGTATACAAATAAATGGTATACAGATAAATGGTATGAATTCACGCTGTATACAGATATATGTTATTAATTCACACGGTATAGAGGTTCACGGTATACAGATATAGGGTATGAATTCACACGTTATACAGATATCTGGTATGAATTCACATGGTATACAGATAAATGGTATGAATTCACGCTGTATACAGATATATGATATGAATTCACACGGAATACAGATTCACGGTATACAGATTACATTATATACAAATACATGGTATATATATACATGGTATACAAATACACGGTATACAGATATATTGTATGAATTCACACGGGATACAGGTTCACGGAATACAGATATATGGAATGAATTCACACGGTCTACAGATTCACGGTATACAGTTATATGGTATGAATTAACACGGTATACAGATCTAGAAAAGGATAAGAAACAATAAGGTTTCCAACTTATATCGCTTCGATCTAAGACATAGGAACCAACATTATACCGTACGCATGCTCAAACTCCGATTCTGTGCACAAGCTCCATTTCTTTGTTTGGTAATAAACTATTCCAATTGTACATTTTTGCGATGATTCGGAGGAACATGAAAGTCACATAAGTGAGATATATGGTATGAATACACAGGGTATACAAATAAATGGTATACAGATAAATGGTATGAATTCACGCTGTATACAGATATATGATATGAATTCACACGGCATACAGATACACGATATACAGAAACATTGTATACAGATACAGTGTATACAGATACATTATATACAAATACATGGTGTAAAGTTACACGATATACAGAAACATTGTATACAGATACATTATATACAAATACATGGTATAAAGTTACACGTTGTTATGACAGATACACAATATACATATGCATTGTATACAGATACATCGTACACAGATACATTGTATACAGATACACGTTATACAGAGTACACAATATAGCAATACGTGTTATACAGATACACGGTATACAGACAATATATAGGTACACGGAATACAGAGGTATAGAGATACATGGTATACATATACCCGGTATACAGATATAGGGTATGAATTCACACCGTATACAGATATATGATATGAATTCACACGGAATACAGATTCACGGTATACAGATACGCGGTATACAGATATATTGTATGAATTCACACGGGATACAGGTTCACGGAATACAGATATATGGAATGAATTCACACGGTATACATATACACGGTATACAGATAGATGGTATACAGAAATATGGGATGAATTCACACGGAATACAGATTCACGGTATACAGATATATTGTATGAATTCACACGTTATACAGATATATGGATTGAATACACAGGGTATACAATTACATGGTATACAGATAAACATTATACATATACATGGTATAAAGTTACCCGTTAGTACAGAAACATTGTATACAGATACACGGTATACAGATACACGATATATGAATACAAGGTTTAACGTTACACGTTATACAGAAACATGGTATACAAATACACGGTATATAAATACATGGTATACAGATATATGGTATGAATACACAGGGTATATAAATACATGGTATACAGATATATGGTATGAAAACACACGGTATATAAACACTTTATCAATATGACAATTAGAAAAGGATAAGAAACAATAAGGTTTCCAACTTATATCGCTTCGATCTCAGACACAGGAACCAACATTATACCGTGCGCATGCTCAATCTCAGATTCTGTGCACATGCTCCATTTCTTTGTTTGGTAATAAACTATTCAAATTGTACATGTTTGCAATTATTTGGAGGAACATGAAAGTCACATAAGTGAAGCACTATACCGTTTGCAATGTCTAGACTTTATTTTCTCACTCTTATCCGCTTTTAGTGAGTTCTATACTTAATATAATCTCCATAGTCTATTCATACATATTCGCGTGTGGAAATTTTTGCGGTAATTTACTAGATGCAAAAATACACGAGCATTCCCACGCTGCGATAATTTCCAACCTAACAGTTTATATTTATTCCAAAGAAACACTCGTCAATATGTATATATTTATGTGTGTGTAATTTGATTACGTATATGTCATACGTGTAACGTTTACATTTATAAAATGAAATGGATTCGACTTTATTCAAGATTTTTTTTTTACTATAAACATATCACACAGCATCGACCGGCTCCGGCTCCGGCTCCGGCTCCGAGGAAATCCAGGAGGCGAAGCAGAATATTGATACAAGATCTGAAAAATGGAGGAAACTGCTCTTTCAGAAAAAATGTCCTGTCCAGTTTGAAAATGGTGAGTGATTAAAGGGACGGATTCAACTGATAAAACAGGAATCTAGATATACGAAATCGAAATATAATATCTCCTTATTTGGTGCATATATATAACAAAAGTCACACTCCGTGACCTATTGACTTATGGAGGTAGTTATTTAGATGCTATATGACTTTCGCTGTTGAATAAGATGATAAATAAAGTATTTATTTGTAAAGTAATGCATTTTTTACGACAATTATGAAACAAGTTTGAAAGACTAAAGATCAACCGTGAGCAAAGGGAGACAATACCTATAAACATACAACTTTTTATGATAAAGCAATCATATGTTGTCCATACCCCACGCCCTTTCTCTAAAATTTACAGAAAGACCGATTTTGACTATATTTGATCAATATTGTTACCCTTTCCGTTGAAGAGCCCCATTGGTACAAAGTGTTGCAGCGTTATAGACCAAGCCGTTCCCTGTATGATGGACTCGGGGCGGTAAGTAATCTTGCGTGGCTTGCGTGGCGTTGCCCATGCCTGTTGTAAAATTCGTCTGACATGCCTATCTCAACAATATAAACCCTTTTGATTTGAAAAAAATATTTGCCTTTTCACGGTAAAGGATGCCAGCAAGTTTAATTATAATATTACCAATGTCTCTATTATGAAACATTTGTGTAAGTCCTTTTCAAAAGCAGTATTTGTTGAAAACCGCTTGATGCCATGCATTTTACAGCATTATAGCATTCCAAATTTTGAATGTTTTGAATTATAAATGAAAAAAAACCTCAGGACCATTAAATTGCCTCCACTCTACCAATGCTTCCGAAAATTATATCTACATTTTATCAAAATGAGTGTCCAATTTGTAGGCCACAAATATAAAAAAAAAAGCAATGGTAAATTACTCTAAGCCAGAAATAGTCCCTTTGGTTGCTTCATCTTCTATATAGAAGGGAGAATACTCCAAGTAACAAACAACATTGAGAGGAACTCTTCTGTGCGATTATCACTGATGCAGTGGTACGTGCACCCTAAGATGTTTTTTTTTTAAACTTCACCTCCAAAGTGGAATGTCCAAAATGAAATAAATGGTATTTCTATTACATAAGATATATTCCTGTGTGTCAGATCTACCACACAATGCCCTACATTAATTGTCTGTGTAATTGTACTGTTTTAACTTTAGAACACACCCGTAAAGGTTGATGAATCCGTCCAAACAGACTTCACTTTCGTCAGAAAATGCTACGTACTGGGCATGGAGTCGTTCGAAAAGGAAGAAAAGACGAGCGGAGTATGGAAAATGTGCTGCTGTGGGCGACAGTAGGAAGTGACGTATGAACGGGACGTGTGGAAACATCCGGGCATCACGTGACAACAGTGTAGACATGAAAGCTTTTTGATATATGTTTGAGAAATAATCCTTTGAATCAAAAGTTTTACTTAAGGATTATAGAGGGTATTCAAAACAATATAAAAACGATGCCGAAAAAAATCGCAGTTATTGAAAAAGTGATAGACACAAATATAGAAAGCATTGCTCTATATAAAAAAAAGTATTGAAAATAAGGTTTTATTTTAAGCATAAAACATAAGAAATTAGCTTAATAGAGTCACAAAGAATAGTAATAAAAACATAAACATGGATAGCAAAAGATAAATAAATAAGCATAGGACAAGTCCGACAGATGAATATATAACATAGAATAGAAATGGATAAAAATATGACTTTTTTATTTCATGAAACTTGTTGACGACTGGATTCACAATTATGAAGATAAAATATTCGTAATTACAGATGCTAAGGACAAATTAGATATGCTTTTAGTGTGGTGAAGATATGTAACAAACATATTTACAGGTTTAGTAAAAATAAAAATGTTTTACCGAGTGGTGAAGATTGTTCTGATAATGTCACAGTGTGGAAAGGATGGTTGTGAGGTCTTAGACAGGAATGGAGATGATAACAATATTTTTTTAATGAAATTATTTTCGGTTACCAAACAAAAACATAGCCAATATACCATCTGATGATCATGGTTTTCGGTATTCTGGTGAATATTGTCTAGTTGAAATGTCGATACTTGGGGCTACTGAGGCGGTAATTTGGTGGAATTGTGACTTACTGCGATGGGTTAGGACCACAGGGACCTGATAATTTGTTACAGCTATTTTTGGACATAAACTAAGATGTTCAGAGTAATTTTACATGTTTTATGGGTTTACATCGACTTTCGGTAAACATGACACCCCCAACGATCATATATACCGTGTACAGTATATGATCATTAATGGGGTGTCACTTTTACCGAAAAAAAATCAGGTATCTGGGCCCACTTGTATAAAACATCCCAAAGTTAAGGAAAATCTCAAGCAATGTATTGTCTATGGGAAATCTTAGACTTGAGGAAATCTCAAGAGTTGAGATGTTTTACACAAGTGGGCCATGGACCTTAGCTACGGTGTTCAAAGTAACTTTACATGTTTTAGGGGTTTAGATCGACTTTCCGGTAAAAATGACATCCCCAATAAATTCCCAGGTCCCTGTGGTTGCGACAGAGCTTCCGCGTAGGGTAACCACAATCGTTAACAAATTAATGTTTTTTGACATTCGATTGTAAATTGATGAATGTAAGTTTTAAATTAACGACGCCAACATTCAACAATTTTATTTATATATAGAAATATTATTTATTGGAAAAGTCGAAGCGATCTCGTTTCCTCGTTGATTGTAACGAGATGTGTAATATGTGGCGCTGTTACCTTTGTTAGTGGTACGTCATATTTGTGGGTTTTTTTCGATTGTGAATTTTATCGTTTGTTCCTTTCGTAATATTATATGTAATAGTATACGTGAATTTCTTTCTGAAAAATCTTCTCCATAAAGGAAACTAACTCATAAACTGTTCAGACTTAGAACTGTACTTATTGTATAAGCCCAGTCGTACCATTATGACAGTGCTGACTGCTAGAAATAGTTAGGCCATTTCATATTGAAACGGCATCTTTATCTGTTATTGTACAGTTATATACCACTACCTCATGTCATCAATATTGATTATATGTGATTTAGTCATTTATGACCAGATATATATATATACACTTTAAAATTCGATTGAATTGTACGGATATTTCGTTGGCTTACTCGTTTATACATAACATATATATATATTGTACATTTAAATGTGACTCTACAATTGATTATTGTATACATTTAACAAAAAAATATTTTCATATTTTGATACATATTTTTTTAATCTCTATTGCTCGATATTAGAGTTAATTACTTATACGATGTTGTACTTACTCAGATCTTTTTACGAAATTTAGAATAAAATGTCATATTATTTTGCTACCAATTGTTGTGTCTTGCCTTTATTAATTATTAATACACTGTAAAATATACACCATGGCCTCAATACACAGCGAAAAATAGAAAATCTAAGATTGTATGTGCTATCTCTAAATAAAGGTGACAACAGAAACCGAGGAGACATCACAAAATGGACCAAAGAGCCGAGGACACATGAAAAAGAACCGAACAAGAGCGGAGGAGACATGAAAAAGGACCAAACAAGAGCCGAGGAGACATCACAAAATAGACCAAAGAGCCGAGGAGACATCACAAAACAGACCAAAGAGCCGAGGAGACATCAAAAAGGACCAAAAGAGCCGAGGAGACATAAAAAGGACCAAACAAGAGCCGAGGAGACATCAAAAACGGACCAAAAGAGCCGAGGAGACATCAAAAAGGACCAAACAAGAGCCGAGGAGACATCAAAAAGGACCAAAAGAGCCGAGGAGACATCAAAACTGGACCAAAGAGCCGAGGAGACATCAAAAAGAACCAAACAAGAGCCGAGGAGACATCAAAAAGGACCAAAAGAGCCGAGCCGAGGAGACATCAAAAAGGACCAAACAATCGCCGAGGAGACATCAAAAAGGACCAATCAAGAGCCGAGGAGACATAAAAAAGGACCAAAAGAGCCGAGGAGACATCAAAAAGGACCAAACAAGAGCCGAGGAGACATCACAAAATGGACCAAAGAGCCGAGGAGACATCAAAAAGGTCCAAACAAGAGCCGAGGAGACATCAAAAAGGACCAAACAAGAGCCGAGGAGACATCAAAAAGGACCAATCAAGAGCCGAGGAGACATAAAAGCCGAGGAGACATCAAAAAGGACCAAAAGAGCCGAGCCGAGGAGACATCAAAAAGGACCAAAAGAGCCGAGGAGACATCAAAACTGGACCAAAGAGCCGAGGAGACATCAAAAAGAACCAAACAAGAGCCGAGGAGACATCAAAAAGGACCAAAAGAGCCGAGCCGAGGAGACATCAAAAAGGACCAAA